GCTGGGGTTGAGTTGAGATCAACGTGGTGCCTTAGCGCACATCGCTTAATGGGAACAAAGCCCCCCCAGATATTCGAAGTATTGTATTGTATTGTACATACATACTTACCTGCATAGTACCTACCTATTAATTTGCAAGCTGTCTGTCTTGCGTGCAGTTCGCGGGGAGAGTGAGCAAGCGAGCGATTTATTTTTGTCACCCACACGCCCACGTCCACAGGTCGACTGTCCAGTCACTCCAGTGTCGAGTCTGTCGACAATGTTATCGACAGGGATCGAATTAGAGCCTCCGAAGTAGCCCCGTCTTTTCATGTCCTATTCTAGCTAGCTAGAGATGCATGATCTGGTTTATGTAGGAAGAGCCACTGTAGTCTGTAGGTAGGTAACTAAGGTAGGTATTGTAACGCAACGCCTCATAGCATCCATCTTTTCCGGATCTGGTTGAGGCTGACCTGTGATAGGAACGGCATGTTCGATATAATATGTATAATACCTATAAGAAACGAATGAGGTGAAACACAAATAAACGAGTACCGTAACTAACGAAAATTCTACATAAATAATCAACTTGGCATCAGAACTCGACGCTAATGAGAACGAATCCGAAGCCTTTCGTATCGTACTACGTAATACGAAAGTAGTTTCTGCTCTAAAAGACTAGGTTAGTATATTCGATGTTGGTATTCCGTTTGCTTAGTATGTACCGGAGGTTAGGTAGGTAGGATGGATGTATGTATGTATCCCTTTTCACGATGTGTCGAAAATAGCACATATGTATAATAGGAATCTTTGTAGGTATTGATGTAAGTAGGTAGTATTATGCCGATAGATACATGTATACAATACCGACATCGAGACAACGCAACACATATAAGAGCTCCTTTTAAGATCTAATATGCAACATAGGGAAATTCATCTGACCGACTCGTCATGTTGGGTGCATGTACATACCTTACCTAGTACATACAAGTAGGTACCTATGTATGTAGTATGTAGTATGTACGATGTGCTAGGCAAGAAGGCGGCTAAGATGAAAACGTCCCGACCTCAAGGCAGCTTGGCAACTTACTATGTATGTACGTGCATAGTACCTAGTGCCATGTTCTGGTGCCGTTCTGGCGTCCATCTAGCGTGCCGTCATGCAAGCCTCAACTCAAATTTCTATGCTCATGTGCGATCTGTCGACATACCTGACTAACATCATTGATACATATATATGTACATACATCCCTAGGTTAGCCTACCTAGTTCCACATACGTAGTCAGTGTATCTTACTAACCTAGTGATAGTTATATGAATCAACGATCAAAGAAAAATAAAATAAAAAGCAAGTCAAGCCACGCTAGACTTCACGTGGCTTTTAGTTTCTCCAACGTTTGGACTTGTCTTCGTCAAAACTTGCAGAGTATTGACGGTACCTCGATACATACCACATGTAAGTACATACATACATACATACATACATACATACATGTATTACCATATCGAGATAACTTCAAAGAATAAGCAAAAGCCTTCGGACGTTGGTACGAAATGCCGTCGTTCTCGTTCCTGCTTAGTGCTTTGAGGCTACTAAAGGGCTGCGGGCTGTGGCATACATAGTACCTACATACATACATACACTTAAACAGCGGACCTACATACTACATACATACATAGTAGGTACGAGGCAGGCACTATAATATCATACATATGTATCATATGTATCCAAGCGACAGACGGGATTTCTTGCACGAAAAAATATATATCCTCGTTCCGGCCGGCATCCGTCTTGAATAGCATCATCCAGAGTATCGAATGCGGCTGCAAACGTCTCAACATAGACAGTATATCCTAGGAACTTATGTATGACTATGGGACTACTATGGACTCTGGACTATAACTCTTTTGGTGTAGGTAATAGTTGTGATCTGTGATACTGATACATACATACTTACATCAATGATACTCCTAACCTTGATGTATGTATGTATGTATGTACTACTAGTAGTACCTCTAGTAGTGTACTACATAATGTAGGTTAGGTAGGAGACTACTAGGAGTAACTACATTGATACATAAAAAAAGCGGAGTTGTAATGGTGACTTGGCTCGTGCCAGATAGCTCGGAACTTAGCTGTCCCTTCATGCCTTTCCTCACGGGGTGTCTCGCTTTTGGGAGCTAAAGTGTCAGTGAGACAGGGGTCTCCAGGGTACGCGGAAGAGCTGCCATCCCGAAGAGGCGTGCATAATCCCTGCTTGAAGTTCTAGGCTGCCGATCATAGCAAAGGTACCCTTGCTGGCCACCCGGACCACCCTGCGTAAGCGAAAAGATTCCTAGCGCTAAGTTGACGATCATATGAGATTACCTACCTACGTACCTAGTACTACTTATTTAGGCCCTAGTGTACATCTTCAATGTTCCTACACTACACTTTGTGGTTAATATGTAGTTAACTATTAACTAGCTATTATTTCGTTTCTGTCGAAGGCCAAAAAAAAAAAAAAAAAAAAAAAAACCCTCCGGACGTTTCTTAGGAACTAATGTGTACCTAGGTAAGCATGTATGTCTCATTAGGCATGTCTGGGTAGACACGTAATTTATAAACTTGGAAGAATATATATCACCAACATCTTTTCCTTACTTGATCTCGTTATTAACTATTATTCATATTATTCATCTACAGAATCTGTAGATGAAAAAGATGATGATGATAATACACACGATGTAGCAAGCAACATGGGGAAGCTACCTAGTAATCGACTTAATCATCATATCTCCGTTCCAAGGGTCGTCGATCCTAACCCCTCGGGATCTTAAGGTAAGGATATTACGTATGAGAGCATACTAGGTAGTAAGTTTTGTTTAATGAAGCCATCTCCCATCGCCAAGAACTAACTATGGCTCCCATCTGGGGCTGGCCAAGGACCCGTTTTATACATAGGTAAGCGGAGCTTGGTACTGGTGCTGGTACTGCACTACACTAACCTAGGTACAATACTACCTAGTAGGTTGTCTGCTAGGTACTAGGTAGTAGGTAGTCCTAGGAAGGTACCTAGGTAGCATGCAAAGACCCTCGGATTTTCCCATCGAACAGGTACTTCGCTGCATGATCTGGTAAGGCTCATCTCAAGGTTCCCCCAACGACGTGTTACGATACATATCCTACCACAGACACTGGACAGTAACCACAGTACCTTACTATGTAGGTGTGTGTAATGAATGATACCAAGACGAAAGCCGGGAAGCTGCGGCTCTTTTTCATTCACTGTTTCTTGGCCTAATCTTTGCAGAGAATCGATTTTATTAAATATTGATTGTTCTAAATCGAATCAGAGTCAGACAGGCACACGATAAAAATCATATCTGAATTCGAATCACGCCCTTCTGGACTGTAGGCCAAAAAGGAGAGGATATATCAAATCAGATGAGATAAGATGTATGTATGTATGATGTATGCGGAAAAGAAAAAAAAAGAAAAAAAGAAAAAAAGAAAAAAAGAAAATAATAAACATGAAGACATCAACAAACAGCTGCATGGGTTGGGTTATATGTCAGGCACGGCAATTCCTCTACCGAATAACTCCTTGTTGCAGGTCTTCGTCAATGCTGATAGCACAACCCCAAATAGGCCAGACTAACCAGCACGCCGCGGGATAGATCTGACAATCTGCAGCAAGGTCTAAATAGATCAAAACATTTTGGGACTGTAAGCAGTCATCCGAAGATGACAGATGCAGAGAGATAGAGTGTGAACGAGCGAGAGAGTGGGAGTAGGAGAGAAGATAGAGCCAATGCCAATGCGGCATGTGCTGTCTGGGCTCGTGGGGATGAACGGCATAAGATCAGCTTGTCAATCCGGTCACAGCACAGGCTCGGCAGGGCTTAAACAGTAGCCTTGACGAAGCTGTTTGCGGCACCAAATATGTTCATTGTCGTCTCAAGTCCCCTAAACTCCACATAAACTAAGCCGGGTCCCTTGTCCGAAGTGTACCAAGACAAGGATCACAGACCAACTATCCGGACGGCAGTATACCCCTAAGGGGAAAGGGTGGTCCGGATGTGCCATGCACCCAGCAATACATACACTACCAGTGACTACCTAGCAATACCACAACCACACACGTCCAACGAAGATGGTTAGTCCTAGCAGCTTGCTTAGGTAGTTCTTGGCCTAAGCCAAGACTTTGGAGGAGGAAGAACAAGAAGGGATGAGCTTAAACGGTCCACCGGGGATGCCCAGAGTGCAGAGGGAGTGCAGAGAGACCACGCACACGGACGTCTTATTACACCCTTGCCGGTGCATAGGCGTAGCCAGTAGCCGTTTGACCTTCAGCGATCCCACGAGAATCCCAGCGGAGCCGTTCTGCTACGGTACGTCCATCCTTCGATCTCACCCACATGCACCCGTAACTGCCTAGGTATGTACATTTACATGCAAGGCTTCTTTCCATGAATACATACTTTACTTTACGTACCTACATACAATATTATGTATCAGTATTATCCTAACCTAGGTACCTTACCTACATGTAGGTATGTACTACATATCCAAGCCTACCTACTACGTATGTATCTACCTAGATTGGCCTTTGCTATGTAGGCTACTTGCCTACTAGCATCTAGTAGGTATCCTTGCATCAGCCCATACTTGGGGAACTGGGACGGACCACTTAAAAGAGGCGGGTGAGGAGGAATAAGCAGTTCTAGAGTTACAGAAATACAGAGTGACAAGAGTCCCCAATCGCCGCACGCATGTGCATGGAACCTCCAAGACGGTACATCACCGCTCACTCCTCACTCCTTGGTACGGGGGGCGCTATAAGTAATACTTACCGTCGATCCAGGAGTACCTTCGATACCGGCGATCTACTGTTGATTTCGACCCAGGTCTGCCGTGACCCACACCCAAAATTTGTGACAGTTGTTCTCCAGGGTTTGCTGTAGGGATTGACGCTTGATCGTCGTTTATATTATTATACTTCCCGGGAAGATCTCATAGATACATCGTCAACCCTCGTCCTTTACCCACCCTCTACCGTCTATACTTAAGTATCCACACTCCCCGTACATTTCAACTCGTCGTCTTTTTAAATTCTTTAAATCATTAAACGCCTTTCGAACATCGAGAATACACGAGTAATATCTCTCTCTTCCTACCGAACACAAAGAATTCAGCTACAAAGCATCTAATATCTACACTGCGATCATTTTATCGACGAGAAACCTATTAGTCTTAATATCGTCAACCTTGAGCAGAGCCTCGTTAGTTATATATATTATAGAAGTATATATATACACACAAATATACCGTCACACCGTAATATACACACAAATACAAATATAAACACAATGGCAACCGCCATATACACAACCCAGCCTGGTGCTCAGTACGGATACCCACAACCGCCTCCCTCACCCCCAATGGACGAAAACTCGAAATGTTCTTTGCCCTCCATCTCCAACTTGTTAGTAATGGCAGACGCTGGATCGCCGACCACAGAACAATCGCCTCAGTCTCAGCAAGGTATGGATGAACCCAACAGTTATTTTTAATACGAGGAATAGCTATCGTACTAACCCCAGAATAGCACCATCGGTGAAGGCAGAGACGCGACCAAACTCGTCTCACTGTGCGGGTAACGGATACTCTCGAGCCACTTTGCCTCCTACGCCTCCTATGAGCTCAGATGCTTCTTTCGAAGGCTACAACTCGCCTTCTACGAGATCAGTCTCGGTTGTGTCAGGACCCAATTACTATTACGAGACTACTCCACCCTTGGAAGACGTTCACCGCCAGCAAATGGCGGCGGCTGCACCTCGCATGGCCGTCCAAGCTTCAGCATACTCGCAACCCACTTTTGCAGCACCGTACCTGGGCCAAACGCCAATGCCACCTTACTACCCTGCTACCCTACCTGGGACTCAGTCGGCGCAGCCGCAGATCTCTGGGCTATACTACCAACGACCGTTACCACAGGTTGGTCCAAACACTTATTAACCTGTCACATTATTACGCGTTGCTAATTTCGATCGCAGGCGTTCCCTCCCCTGCCAGTAACAGTTTCTCTGGCGGCCGCTCCGGGCACTAACCCATGGCAGCATCACCACTACATATCTCCCTCTTCCGCAGCCTCCTTCCCGCAGTCACAAGACCGTTACATATGCCAGACGTGCAACAAGGCGTTCTCGAGACCAAGCTCTCTACGAATCCACAGCCACTCGCACACGGGGGAGAAGCCATTCAAGTGCCCCCACGCGGGCTGTGGCAAGGCATTCAGTGTACGGAGCAACATGAAGAGACACGAGCGCGGGTGCCACGATGGTGGTAACGCACCATCGCATCACCATTAGAAAGAGTGAAAAGAAAGAAGAAAAGAAAAGAAAAACCATCACCACCACTACCATCCCAACCAATCCTAGGATTCCGATAATGCTTTAAAGACGGTCGACCCCGTCGTTTTATTTTTTATTGTTTATTTCCTAATACGACCTGAGGTCCACCACCATTGGCGCGCGAGAGAGAATAAGCCTCGAATTCTTTTTTGACAACAGCAAAAAAAAAAAGGAGGGCCCGAAAGGAAACACCGGAAAGGAAAGGTGTATATGGACACGAAGGATGCATTTTGATACCCAATTGTTGCGGGTTATACGCTATGATCTTAACGGCCGCCTTCTATTATTGTTTTTTCCAGCGCGCTCGTTTGATTTTGCTTTTTTACCAAATATTTTTTTTCTCTGCTCTTCGTTGATTTTTTAATCCCGAGGCATTGAAAAAAAAATTCAATCATCAACCCCGTCCAAAACAAAAGCCAATCTGGAACTGGATATCTAGGTACTTTGGGGACAAACTTGGAGAAAGCGGGAAGAGGAAGCGGAAGGGAGGGGGGCATCACATTTTTCGGGGATGTGGCCCTTTGCTTCCTTTGCTTACTGGGACAGGAAAGGTGGGATGAGAGAAAGAGAGACAGAGAGGTACTGGTTGCATTTTTCTTGACTTGCACAAGGAGATGTGAATTTGTTCATTGACGAGGCGCATCGGACTACCGACTTTGGCATTTACACCGGCGTTTACAAATCATCATCATTATCATCATCATTGGGGAAGGGAAGGGAGGGGAAAGGGAGCAACCCTTTTTTTTTTTGGCTGGAACAACCAAAAAAAAAAAAAACCAAGAGCAATCTTAAAAAACCCTCTCGTTCACGGCATTTTTATGGCATTTTTTATATTATTGGAGGAATATTTTTCATCCAATCCCCCTTTAAGTCCTAATGTATAGAAACGAGGACTGCAAAGGACAGGGAGGAGAGAAAGGGTTGGGATGGGAAACTGTACCAACAAGACCAAAGACCCTAGCCTTTTGGGTCGAGATGAAAGAAGAAGACCCTGGCCGAGAGAGAAAAGAGTCGAGCAAGAATAGCTTGCGATTCTTGTATGATGGGAAGATGAAACTGCATGAATCTAGACCGGCCTCATCAATAGGCAAGGTCACGAGAATCAATAAAAAAACATTTTTAACAAACTTATTTGCTTGCCTTCAGTATGCCATACCAATCTACTCCTGTGACGATGTTTCTCAATGTTTAGTTTAGTTAGGGGGGATCTTCATACATACGAACTATGCACATCCATGAACCATCATCCTTCCTTGAATCCATTCAATGATTTTACTTGGTACTGCTCTCCGTACACGAAGATTCACAGCTAAAAAGGAGGGCAGGGGTCCATCAGCATTCCAATGTATATCTTAACCCTAACGAGATCCCCTTTCTCCGCTGAAACAGGGACAGGAAACACCGGCATGCGGGTAACCTTGTTTCAATGTCAACCCTGCATCAGGAACTCTCTTGACTCTTGAGTCTTCACCAATGTTGCTGCACTCACTTCACTGCAGTCTGCAGTGACTGGCACTGACTGCACACTCAAAACTTTGTTTCGAGATGCACGCAGGGGAGCCGGGGTCCCCGTGGTTAGAGAGTTGCGATCAGATTATCATAGTGGCATTGCATGTAGCATTGCAAGAGGGGTTAGGTAGTTATATTCTGTCAAGTGTCAACCTCGAGAGATAGTAGGGTTGCCTTGAAGGGATTAGGATTGAGATTTGAGAATGTGAGGTTGGACATATGTAACTAGTTAATAATATTTCATGGATTATTTGGGATTTGAATGAGAAAGGACCCTGGCCCATAGTGACAGTCCACTATTGGATGAGTGTTTCAACGCTCAGACGAAACTTGATCTGAATTGCCGGAACCTAGGTACCAAAAATGAGGCAAAAGACGAAAAAAGACGAAAAAAGACTTGAGAACAAGGCTTTAACCTTAGTAAGTTCTCTGCCACTTACATAGACATTACCTACAAAGTAGTATATCGCGTACGGTAGGGCCGAATCGAACCCCAGAGATAGGTCATATAATAGGTAGGCACCTACCTAGGTCACCTATATTAGTAGTAGCAGCAGTAGTCGTTGTTGTAGTCGCAGTCGCAGTCGCACATACATCTGCACTCTCCTGCCCTGCCGCTGTGATGTTTTACAGCGTAGCAGTTTCGTGAATCCATCTGGCGTTTTGCTGATCTCGATATCACCCAAGCACACATACACACACACCACACACACACCTACTCTCCGCACCTTGTAATGTATTTACTTGGGGTTGGTTAACTAGGTTAGAGGTTTTTCTTTCCCAAGCTCATCTCCGATCTATCACGTCGCCTTGGCGCCATACGACATTATCACGTTCTACAGGTTAGCTGCAATACTCGCATGTCCTTGCCTACTTGCCCGCAACATGTAACCTTCGAGTTGCGTTGCGTACCTACCTACCTACCTACTACTACTACTACTACTACTAGGTAACTACCCTCAAGTGAGACAACATCCCAGATTGCTTCATAACGCAGTAGCTAGCTACTATAAATTGAGCTTCTTCCATCATTACCCATTCGGACGGGGTTTAGTTCAAGAAGCTAGCAAAGAGCAAATACCACCCAACAGTCGTCACCGGTTTTTTTTTTTGTTTTTTTTTTTCTATATGGTGTAGCTTACCTTACCAGGCTTACCTCCCTTGTAGATCCTAGTAATGCGGCGCTGCGGAGCTAAACGAGCTAGTGAATACGTAGGAGAGTGCTTATTCCATGATAGCGTCTTGTAGATCATTAGGCTAGCCCTGGTCAGTCGCGTGGTAGATGGAGTTTGAGATGGGGTGGGCTTGGCAAATACCCAGCAGCGTCTGATGGCTTCTTTTTTCTTTTTTTCTTTTTTTTCCTTTTTTTAATTAATCCATCCATTGATGTGTGTGGGGGCCATTATTACCTGGATAGAGAAATCCTTTTCTGTCGGGGATTATGGAGGACTGGCCCGAATGAGCGGGGTGAAGGGTTGATGATTTTCATCAGCAATGCTGATCTCGTTGGGATTACGAGTTGTTGGTTAGCTTTGTAGGTATTAGTACTACTAGTAATAGGTACTACTAGTTATGGTAGTAGATATACATACATATCCATACTTACTTTGGTTGTCCTCGTAATAACTAAATGATAGTAACTTTTAATTGCAGAGATATTCCCTACCTCACCCCCTTATTACCTTTTCCCTGATCCTTGCCCTACAACATCCCTACATCTCTACATCCCTACGTGAGATGCAGATGCCTCGATTCTTCATACATATGCACCCCTACCTAGGCACCTACTACACTAAATAGGTAGGCATGGTTAATTAATCCATCTCTCACACAGCTGGGAGAGGTAGTTTTAAGTATCCTATCAGGACCTATCTACCTCATATAGGCTACCTAACCTAGCTAAATGTAGCTACTTACGAAGAATTAATTTATTTTGAGCCCCTTTTGCTCTTCTCCATGCTTTTCCCCCCCCACAAACATCAAAGAGTTGTAGTCAAAGATGGCATCATCTTTTTTATCTCAAATACGAAACATCACCGAATTGGTTAGATGACGAGTTATGTACTATCTTATCGCAAAGTCTCACGTTCTTCTAATTTCCAGAAGCTCATCTCATCCATACCGCTTCCCAAAGCGTCGGGGCCTTTCTGTCTGTCAGGATTCAGGAATAGGTACATAGCAAACACAGTAAGCTCCTCTGCAGGCTCTGCTGTTTGATCGGTTCCTACAGATCACGCATCCTTGTGCGTGTGTGAGTGTTGCCGCAACCTCGGCCCTCGAATCCTTATTCGATCTTCTCCATAAACCCCATTAATCCGTCGCCAATAAAGCTTCCCATTCTAGCAAACAAAACCCCCAAGCCACATGCTACATTGCTACAGTACGGTGTACCTATGTAACTACAAGCTTTAACAAGCTACATAATAGCAAGATTACCGATATTATTAGTCTTGTCCCAGAACTTCGGGCGCCTTGCATTTTTCGGTCGACCGCATTCTCATCACCTGCTCACCTGCTCACTGGGAACCGAATCCATTGGGTCCTCGCGCCGCTCATTCCCCCCCCCATATCGGCCGATAGTGTGTAGTAGACCCAATAGATGTTTTTCCCCAAAATCCAAGATCGTCGAGTCCTTTCTAAAGAGGCAAACCTGGCCGGAGGCGGGAGGGCAACAACGGAGCGGCGAACGCATTTCGACCAGTTCCATGATTTTTGAAGTTGCATTATCGACTTGACACAGCATATCACCTGATGTGAACGCCTCGCATCTTCCTGCATACTCTAGCTCTCCTATACCCAAGGATCTATGTAAGGTCGCCTTTGTTTTATTGATCAAACATACAAAGTATGTATGTAGGTACGTATGTGTCTTTCTTTCTTCCCTACCTCCCTCCCTCCATCCATCCCCCCCCTCTCCTTCCCCAGGGCTGCGACTGGATGGTAGGGTGGTAGTAGGGATGACATCCGCGGTATTACGCCTTCTCGATTAATCAACAGAAGGCCGTCTGATCTTCCATGGCATGCATTTGAATTATCCGCATCTCCCGTCCTTCTGGGACGAAAGGGCCATGTCGTAATATCTCATTTGGGACGATTTCCGTTGACCGGGTTTCCCATTGGGTCGGCCTGCGATTCCGTTGACACCGCCTCCTACTACGTAGATATTTCTTCATACACCTACATGCCAACTGAATTATTACATACCTACATAACTAGTACATGTCTAGGTATGCAATAGTTACATGCTTGTAGGTATGCATTTCTCACCACGCTGATTGCTGACCTTTCAACGGCTACTACCGTCCAGCGAAGGATTGTGCACAAAAGGCCTTAAGTTAGAGGTAAGATCGGGATGAGTTGCAGTTGACTTTAATTGCCTGCCCCTTATTCTTGACCAAATCGGGTGCTTATTTTCGCTTCATTTGTATGCATACATAGATAGATACTTACATGTAGGTACGTAATATACTATACACATGCAAGTTCAAAGTTCGGATATTATATTATCTTTCATGATGACATCGCGTAGTGCAGATCATCAATACCTAAGTACTATGCATCTCGAAGGCCAGGCCACCTCACTTGTCTTTAACTACCAACATA